GAGAGAGAGAGAGAGAGAGAGAGAGAGAAAATCACCAAGGAGGGGTTAATCCTTTAAATTATGGATCATTGTTACAGCAATGTGAAGCATTCACAATATTTACCTTAATATTTTTGCTAATATAAAATTAATCAACATTGTTGAATATCAATTACTTTAATGCATTTTCCCCCACACTCGCTCATTCCATTACAGACCATAACAAAAATGCTTAGCGTTAAGCCATTTGTGACCCTGGACCACAAAACCAGTCATAAGGGTCAATTTTTTTAAAATTGAGATTTATACATCATCTGAAAGCTGAATAAATAAGCTTTCCATTGATGTATGGTTTGTTAGGATAAGACAATATCTGGCCGAGATACAACTATTTGAAAATCTGGAATCTGAGGGTGCAAAAAAATCTAAATATTGAGAAAATTAAAGTTAAATCTTTAAAGTTGTCCAAATGAAGATCTTAGCAATGCATATTATTAATCAAAAATTACGTTTTGATATAATTTATGGTAGGAAATGTACAAAATATCTTCATGCAACATGATCTTTTATTATTATTATAATGGTTTTTGGCATAAAATGTTTTTTATAATTTTGACCCATACAATGTATTGTTGGCTATTGCTACAAATATCCCCCAGCGACTTAAGACTGGTTTTGTGCTCCAGGGTCACAATTTAGGAATGTGTTCTCTTGAACTGTCCATTTTAATAAATGAGCTCAAAACTCTTTTCCACTATGTGTCTATGGAAGCCACTGTATGGCAAGTATTGCTACAAAGATAAATAAAAATGATGCTAATGATTAAATATTCTTCCTTGTTTGAACGCTTTATTTTTAACTTTCAGGATCTTTAAAGCCATTTCAGCAGAATTGTAAATAAAAAGTAAAAATCCATGCAGCTTTTTTTTCTCCAGACAGCTATGAATAGCTTTGACCCTTCGTCTCTCAGACCAAATAAATGGCTTAGCGAGCGTCCGTCATCCTTAGCAGGACGCGTTTACAAGTACTCTGAATCATTTACCCCCATGACACACAGATGCCTTTCATATTAGTCTTATCAGCTTGTGAGTATCTCTAAGCTGAAACGCTGCTGTGAGTGTAAGGTCAGTGTGCAAACAGCATCAGCACATTAATAATGCATCAGTATCGTGATAAACATTCAG